CGCTTCTGCGGAAAAAAAAAAAGCGATTCAGAAAACCTCGCCGCTCTCCTCCAAATTGACGCGTCCGCCATCCTTAGCGGCCTACGCGCTTAGCCGGCGGTCGCCGGCCCCTAACAGCATGGCTCCCGCCCCTATTTTTATGCTCTACCTCATGTTTTCTTTGGATCGATTCCTCGTCTGTGGCGGTCGGTTCTCGTCGTTCCGGCGCCGTTCCGTCATATCAGTTTGGGGCTTCTCGGTTGTGAGGTGGAGCCGTGGTGCGGTTCTGGGGCGGGGCTTGGCCCAATTGCTCGGCGATTGTTTTTGCTGAGCAATCGAGGCGACGTAGTTGCTCAAAGTCACCCCCCCTGGTCTCGATTTTCGGGTCGATGGGGACTGGCGTTTCAAGTCCTCCTCCAGTGGTGTTGGTCGGGCAGTTTGCAGCGGTGGTGTGGTGGTTTGGTATTGCTGCCGAGCAATTTGGGGTCGGGGCTGGGGTCGTGGCACTCCGTTGTCTTTTCAGAAGCAATTGGGTGTTGGGGCCGTGGTGCGGGTTGGCCTGCTGCGATTTCATAGTTGAGGCTTCGAATCCGTTAGGCAACAAAGTGGTTTTGGCAGTTTTGGGGTCGGTGCTTCTGGCTACGAGATTCGTGGTTGACTTGTGTCCGCTGGCTCGGTTAGGTGTTGCAGCTTAGGAAGGACTCGTTTATTTTTTGTGTTTTGGTTGTTTAGTTTGTGTCTTTTTGCTTTGTTCGTAGCTTAGTAGTTTCGTGTGTTGGTTTATTGTGTTTTTGGTCTGGGCCGTTGGCCTCAGTGAGTCCGAGTGCGCTTTTATTATCCTGTTGGGATCTGCACTCGGGCATTACCCTGTTGGGGTCTTTGTGTTTCTTTGTTAGTAGTGTTTCTGTGTTTTTTCGATTTTATTACCTTGTTGGGATCGGTTCTAGGCAGTCTTTGTGACCTGTCCTCCCTCTTTTTAGCCAGTGGTTGTTTTTATTCAGCTTTTAGCTGCTTTGTATTTAGCTAGTGGCTGCCTTTTGCACATTTATGCTAGTAATATAAAACTCTATCATTTTGTAAAAAAAAAAAAAAAAGCTATTGGAATTTGTAAAGGAAAATTAGGGTGCCTTTGAAAAGGTTGGGATTTTTCAAAAGGATCAATTTCATGTGAAAAATAAATGAAGTGGAAAAGGATATAATTAATTGAACATAACATGGAAAAATGATTTACGATCTCGTTACAGAATTATTTCGTGAGAATTTATAATCGTTAGATTAATTATACATGACAGGTACGTGATAATTATAAATCCTGACAGAATTGTTCATTGTTCATAGCATCTTCTTTTATCTTTTAACAGGTGACGTGGAAATCGAATAACGTAAATCTTCATTAACTAATTACACTCCGCCTCCACCTCGACTCGGAATCTCGGGTTGAGCCCTCAGCCTCGGCGCGTCCGGCTCGACCTCGCTTCAGCCTCGGCGCGTCCGTCACGACCCGCCTCCGCCGCTAGTTTTGAATTAAAGATTTGGGGGTTTGATTATTTTACGTTGGTTTGCTGTTTTTTTCATGAATTTTAAAGTTATGTGACTTGGATTTGTTTGAAGCTTCTTGCGCAGACAAATTGGGAATACATGTTTGATAAAGAATTGTTCCTTTTTCTTTTTTAGTGTGAAAATGTGGGAAGAAGCACCTGATAAGATACATTCATGCTGTGTAATTTAGTTTGTGTATTGAAATTGATTATCATATTAATGTGATTTATCATTCTCTCTGGCAATACATTATGGAAGTTACCAAATCTTCCAAACATTATTACATAACCTTGAAGTACATGATTTTACACTATTTTTTGTTTCTCATTTTTGAGCTCGGCTGGTTAGAGCAAAGGGTCATTTATGAAGCTTGTGTTTATATTTAAAAGGGGGTTCCAAATTATTGGGTCATAGAGACGGGATTGGATATTTGGACTTTTCTTTATCGTGGGGATAGATCTTAGTACTCCTCATATAGCCTTTTTATCCGCATCGAGAAATTACTTTGCACTAGTCCAAATAAGAATTGCTTGCTAGGAGTTGTAAGGGGACGAAGTATCTCGACCACTAGTTACCTTGCAGTCACAAGCCACCCAATCCTCATTGCCTAGTTGTTTCACAATATTCATCGATTAATCTCAATAGAAGTATAAGGGTGAGGCGGGGGGTTCTGCAGTTTTGATTTAGTTATTAGAATCTGTGTGTGTGATGATGTTTGCATAAGCAATTGTATTTCTTAGAATTTTCACTAGTGCATTTGGTTACGGAATTGTAAAGATGCGGTCTTCGAGAGTATCTTTTTATGGGTTTGATTTAATTGATAATCTCAGGTTACATGCCAAACTGTTGAATTTGTTTTATGTTAAAATGGAAAATTATTCTTTTTTTTTTTTGGTTTTCATATAATCTGCTGTTGTTTGTTGGAATTTGGAAAAATGAGTTTTTTTTTGTATTATCTTTATCATCATTATATTGTTGGGCATTGTTCTAAATGTCTGGTTTGCTGATAGTTTACTCATTGTAATGGTAAAAATAGCGTGATACATGTGAGTTATGCCCTTCTTTTTTTTTTTTTTT